AAAATTATTTTCTGTTAGTGAGAACCAACCAGGGGCTGGGAGTAGGGAATGGCTGCCTGCAGGCAAACAATAGTGTCTGTTACAATTAGTGTCCCCATTTAACAGATGTGAAGGGTAAGGCTCAGTGAAGACCACGTAACTGGGAAATGGTAGAGCTAAGATTCAAGCTCATTTTTTCCTGACTCGCCAAATCCGCCACTACCTCCTTTCACCTGCGGATTTATCAATTATCCAGAACAGGTAAGGTGTAAAAGTTTGACTGTGACCTTCTGCAGTAGCAAACATTCAGATTTGGGTTATAATTTGAAATACATGATGTCAGTAGGAGAGAGGCCACCCGCTGGACACCCGTGGGCCTATGCTTTGCTTGGTAAGAGATGTTTAAAATTTTATAAATTCATGTTCAATATTTAATATTGGGAGATTTCACATTAAAATTCCGATTTCTAGGTCCAGCTGAAGAAACATGAGAAGATCTGGTCACCCTGGCCCGACATTCTCTCGCAGCAAGAATCGGTGGGAGCGCCGTGGCGGCTGCTCCATTTAGATGGAGCGGGGCATCCCCCTTTTCCTCCTTCCCCATGATTCTCTACCACCTTACACACAGTTCTCCTGTTTGCATCCCTGGCCTCATCCCTGTTGGCATTTTGCCCCCTCCCCGCACCCCCAGCCCTGTTCCCACGGGTCCAATGCCTGCAGTGCTGATGGTGGCATCCAGTAGCATCTATTCCCCGCTCCAGCCCCCTAGACCTGCAGCCAGGAGTCTTGGAGGAGAGGCAGGGAGGGGCCGGTGGGAGCTTTTGGAGGAATCTGAGTTTTCCTACAGGGCTAACAGTGGGGACTCCGTAGGACTTCCCTGCCGTCATTGCTCTACAGCAGAGACACGGCCGGCGGTGAGGCCTGGGGCACACCTCACTGGGTGTACAGGGCGGGTTTGGACCCTGAGCCTCCAAGCGTTTTGGGCAAGGGGTCTGGAACTGAGGAGGTAGGGACAAGCTGGCTGCCTTACCTCCCAGAAGCTGGTTTCTGCTGAAGCTCCCCAGCTTTCCCGTGCAATTTCCTCCCTCTCTGAGTCTCCATATGTCCCCTGGGACTTGTTTTAGTGGTACAACACTACCTGGGGACTAATTCTCCTCTCACTTAAACCACTACCAGAGGAAGTTGTGTATAAACGTTGGGCCTATTCCTTTATTTTGTCTTTCAGTTCGGAAACACTGTTTGTTTGTTTTTAAGTACTTTTATGAATTCATTTGGATAGTGTTGCCCCAGGAGCAGTCTGTTACAAAAGGGGAAGCAATGACAACAGCAAAAATGCCGATGCTCACAGTATAGCTAAGAAATGAGGTAACGCAAGGAAAAGCCCAGCCCAGCTCTGCGCCAGCTCTGAGGACACAAATACTCAGGGAATTCTCCATCTGTCCAGTGGGAGAGCCAGTCACGTAAACAGGCCATTACAAAGGAGTCTGATCAGGGCAGCTCCGGAAGTAAACAGACGGTGTTCCCAGATCTTGGAAGACCTGCACCTACCCTGAGATAGGAAAGCTTCTGGACGGGGTGACAACTGAATCTGGACATAAAAAGGGCTATCCTTGCAAAAGGAGCCGTGGTAGCAAAGGCCTGGAAAGAGGCAAGAGCGTGCATGGTGCCTGGTGGGACTGCACGTTCCTGGAACTCACAGAGACAGGTTACGGAGGGAGGGAAGGGAGGCGGCTGGAGGAGTAAGGAGCACGTCACTGAGAACTGTGGATTCATCCTGAAAGAATGGAGATGCCATGAAGGGTCTTCAGTAGAAGTGTGACATAATCAGACATGCTTATTGGAATAATCACATAGGCTTCAGATCTCGCAAGGGTGGTGGACAGATTGGAGGGTGGATGTGAGCTCATCAACTGCTCAGCACTATTGCCCACTAAGGAAAGAAGGAAGCTAATATTTGCCCTCCGTCTCCAGGGTTCTCTGTCTCTGTAACTGGCACTTCCATCCACCCAGCTGATCAAATCAGAAACTTAGACATCCTCCTTAACTCCTGTCTCTCTTACCCCCCATCACTAAGATGTAGAGTCTACATCCTCAATATCTCCCCAATGTGCTCACGGTCCTCCTGCCACTGAAAGTGGACACCGTCATCCCCAGTGGCCTCCTAATTGGCCTCCCTGCCTCTTGCTTCTCCCTCTCGCAGCTTTTCTTCAAGTCACAGCCAAAGTGGTCTTTCTAAAATGCAGACTTATTCTGACACTCCTCAGCAACGAACACCTCCAGAGGTTCCCATCAGTCAGGGTTCCTACTGCAATCAGAACTCTAGCCTATTTAAACAGAAAACAAATTTATGAAAGAGTATAAAGCAGCACATGGAATCACCAGAAGTTTGTTGGTAAGCTATTGTGGGGCAAAGGATGTGCCTTATGTTTCGGTCATCTGACGCTACGTAATAAACCATCCTAAAACGTAGTGGCGTAAAACTACCACCACCACAGACTACCTCTCCTGACTCTGTGGGTTGACTGGGCTGTGCAGGGCAGTTCTTCTGCTCCACATGGTAATCACTGGGGCTGCTGTCATCTAGAGGCTCAACTTGGCTGAGATGGCTCACTCTCATGGCTGGTCATTGGTCCTGGCTGTCAGCTGGGAGTTCAGCTGGGCTGCCAACCAGAGCTTCTCAGCTCTCTCTGTGCTCTCTCCATGTGGCATTGGCAGCTGGATTCCAAAAGGGAGTATTCTGGTGTGAAAGTGGGAGCTGCAGATCTCCTAAGGCCCAGCCTCTGGAGTTACACAGCATCACTTCCGCTGAACGCTGGTAATCAGAGCAAGTCACAGGCTGGTCCAGATGTGGAACAGACTCTTCATAGGAGAAGAGGCAAAAAATATGCAGCCATCTTTGTATGCACCATCCCTTATTTACGTATCCTCCTAAATCATCTAGTACAGAGTAGGAGACATAAGAGGTGCTCAATAAATATTTGTTGGGGATTGATTGATCAATCAATTGAGTCAATCATTTACTTATTCATTTCTTTGGGATTCACTGACCATGAAGCAGATCAATAGTTTTCTTGGACCAAGAGAGAAGGCAGGTCCATGCACTGAAGAGAGCCAGCCAGATCCGTGGTCAGACCTGGTCTCCCTTATGACCTCAGGTAAGTCACATGGTCTTTTTGGAACTCAGTTTGCTCATCAGTAAAATGGGGCTAACTATACCTATAGAGAGAGTAACACCACAACGTCACAAAGTATTTCCATGTTTAGTTGGTCACATGTCGTGGCCCTCCTGGTAACCTGGAGGTGGTATGAAGAAGAAAAGCTTAGTCAGGCCCCAGAGAAACAAGTTTTTTTGGGGGCGGGGGTGTGGGGAAACACACCAATTTCTCATGTTACTTTAGATTTTCATTTGGATCAATGAGAACACTATCAGCCAAGAAGATATTGACGTTTTGTTTTATAAAGATAGTTCACTGAAGAAAACTCGTAAGAGGTTGCCTCTGGGGGACCAGGAATTAGAGATGGAGGGGAAATCTATGCTTTACAGCTAACTTTTTGGCGCTGTCTGAATATTCTTCTGACATACCTGTATTCTTTTTCTCTAAAAAAAACCCCCACAAAACACCCAAGAATTTAAATGTGAGAAATTCACATATGGTTGAAAAAATTTCTTCCTGTTCACAATTACTTGGGTGAGTACATAGTTGGTCTTTAAAATAATTCAGCTAAAAAGGAAAGTGTCAGTCTTATTTTTCCTGTAACAGGATGTCTTCAGAAGAGCACACGGGCAGGGTCCCAGGGTCCTTCTTCTCTCTCCACCCCTGACTCAGTTTCCTCCAGGACCCTCAAGGCTTGGAACGCTTTTGCATTTGTTCATTAAATGCTCACTCAGACTGGAGACAGGCAACGTGGTCATTGCTGAACACGACACATTCTGCGCATGGTTACAGCCTCCTCGCCACACCCCACCTTGGTGGCCCCTGCTTCTGCTTGGCTAAATCATTTCACCTGTGACTTCCAGGCAGCCTAATGCCTAACCTTTTTTTAGCGAGATCACGATATGAGATAGATTGGGAGCCAGCTGAGGAGGGAAGAGGAAGCCTGGAAGAGGACTAGATGGAAGGGAGGGAGGGGGAGGGAGGGAGGAGCTGATTCTTGTGTTTTTGTAGAATGCCTCCAGACCCCTTCCACCTTGCCCCCAGCTTTCCTTATCCGCTCTACCCCTGCAGTCTCCTTCTCTTTCATATTACACACACTGGTGCAGATGAATAAATGTTACTCTGAAAGAGAAAAAAAGGGGATAAAAAAAAAAAGCCTACATCATCCCCCAGTCACGAACACACATGTGCACACACTGAATGCATCCGCAGGTCCCAATAGTTCTGTGAACACGACAATCTGTCCAACTGCCGCTTCTCTAAGTCTCCATCCCACTATCCTCGTCACTCCACATGGGAACATGAGTTGATGACAGCCGATGTGTGTAAACATTTCCTATGGTCATTAAAAAAAAAAAGAAAATGCTGCCCTTAAATGTTTACTGCAGCTCCGGATTGTTTTCTTTTCTTAAATCTTTGTTGCTAAACCAGTCTCCGAGCGGCAGTCAGACCCCCACCAAGTTGATCCCCAGTCTTCAGTGATAGCTCTGTTACAGGTTAAATTGTGTCCCCCAAAAAGACATGTTCAAGTCCTGACCCCCACCCAATACCTTAGAAAGTGACCTTGTTGGGAAATAGGGCTGTTGAAGATATGATTAGTAAAGATGAGGTCAAACTGGAATGGGGTGGGCCCTAGGCACAACAGGACTGGTGCTCTATAAGAAGAAGAGAAGACACATGGACCCAGAGAGGAGGAGGCCATGTGATGATGGAGGCAGAGGTTGGAGTGATGCAGCTGCGAGCCAAGGGACACCAAAGATTGCCAGCCACCACCAGAAGCTAGTAAGAGGCCAGGAAGGATTCTACCCAGAGCCTCAGAGGGAACATGGCCCTGCTGACACCGTGACTTTGGACTTCTGGCTTTTAAGCGCCCATTGTATGTATTACGTTATGGCGTCCCTGGGAAGCTTAACACAGCTCACCATGGTCATCTTTGAATCTTCAGCTGGACAAGATTCTTTCAAAAGGAATCAGGTGATTGATTTCAGTTGGGTTAACTTGAATAGAGGTTTGGAAGTGAAACGCACATGTTCTCACTGGATTCCACAAAGGCCTGCCTTCTAACGTCCTGTCAGAAACGCAGAGACATTCGAAGATACAATGCAGCTCTCTTTGTCTTATCCTCAAAAAAATAAGCTTCTCAGGATAACAGGGGTGGGAGGGAAGGATGACAGAGACAGTGGACAGATGGAGAGTGTGGAATCTCAGAGCCACCACTCTGTTATCAGCTGCATGCTCTTGGACAAGTGGCTCCATCCCCGTCCTGGAGGAAAGCCATCCACCGCACGGGGTTCTGATGAAGAGACCTCCATTAAGGGACCACATACAGAGGTGCAGAGAGGGTGAGGGGACACGCCAGGGACGTGAGGCAACAGAGGGAAGCAGGGACCAGGCTAGGGTGGAGAGGACACAGGGAAGAAACCGTTTATTGGAGTCTATTGGGAATTGCCGTGATGGAGGGACACAACTCTGTGTAGACACGTGGCGTCCAAGCAGGTAGGGGTGGGGACGAAAGATTTGAACCTCTCTCTTCACTCTGAACTTCGTGTTTTCATCTGTCAAATGGGGATAAGACTACTGCCCTGATAGCCCTGTGAGAAGTTAACCTGGGGAGAAATTAGAAGGGACCCAGCGCCACGCTTGGCACAGAGGCGTGGCCTCGATAAACATCTCGTGAATAAACAATGAATATTTTTATAAGGCACACACACAATCATTTTCTTTTGGTAAAAAAAAGTCTCAAATGATACATTTGGCTAAATTATGCCTCCACTCCACGTGATAAAAGGTACAGAGGGAATTGTACAGCATATTAGAGATAATTAACTCCGAGGTGAATCAGGGCTGCCAGAATTCAGGAAGGATTCCTCTAGTCAATCTTGCCCTAAAAAGGCGCCGAGGCACACATACAGGAAAGAAAATAGAAGCCAATTAATTCAAAACATTTGGTACCTTGTAGCCTCAAGAGGTTCAGACGGAAGCACTTGGTGACTGTGACTGAAATAGCAAGCGCACTGGGGCACGTGGGAGGTTGGCGAGAGCTGACTCGGCCACCGTCCAGAGTAGGCCAACATCATGTCCACTTCTAGAGAGTGTTGACTCAAACGCAAAATGCAGGATGGGGCTTCATTAGGGCCTGTGGGTTTGGAAGGGGAGTTGAGACCAGAGGCTCTTTCTCTCCCTGGGGAACTATGTTCGCGTCTTTCCCCAATTAAAAGGGAGATAGGAATGTGACTGACTGGGCACCTATTAACACTTTGGGTGAGGGCTAGAAGGTTCCTGCTCATTGCTTCTGTGAATCCTCCTAGCACCCAGGAGAGGCAGAAGAGGAAGCATGCTCAGAGAGGGCAGGTGTCTTGTCCAAAGTCCCATCACAGCCGAGTGGCTCAAGAGGAATTCAAACTTGGGTTGCTTTCACTCTACGCCATGAATGTTTTCCACCCTACCAGGGGCCAAACATGTCGGCCCTACTCTTAAGTTCTGGTCATAACAAACCCCACAGAACCTTTCTCTCCATACTGGAAGAAAAAGAGACATCAAACAACAACCTAGGGGCCAGGGTGGAAATTCTGGTTCTAGCTCTGTGCCAGAGGTTGCTACCACTGCATTTCAATGATTCTAACATGCGCATTTTTTTTTTTTCACATTTTAACATCTCAGAAATCAGAGTATAATTTATAATCGATAGCATGTCATGGCTTGACAGTGGTTATTCTTTCTTAGTGGTTCAAAAAATAATGGTGTTCCTTATAATTGTTGGTGTCTTATATTTACAAAATACATTCTTATTGTCTTCATTTCTTGTGGATGAGTAACTCGGCCTCTTCTTAAGCGAATCGGGGGTCTCCTGCCCATCTCCCCATCTCACCTCCTCCTAGGACACCTTCCTCTTGCCACATTGGCCTGCCCTTCTCATCTCTGACTACCAGCTTGTTCCTGTTTATACTGGGTACTGTTGGCTGCCCTGTTCACACTCTCTCCCCTCCCCCTCTGGCTAACACAACTCCGATTTGATAGGCGTGGCCACCCCTGGGGGGTCGGGGGTGGAGGGGTTATCCTACCCTGTCCTAATTAGGTGCCCTATCCAATCATGGATAATGCCATTCTCTCACTTGTGATTGGTTTGGGGCTGGGCTTGTGAGCCAGTTCTGGTCTAAGGAAAATTGTGCTAGGGGCTCCTGGGGAAAGCTTCCTCTCTTTTGAAAAAGACACAAGAGAAGTTTTTTTTCTTCCCCTAGTCACAGGTCTGAATGTGCTTGGAACTATAGGCAGACATCCTAGGACCACAAGGTGATCCAGTCTTGGGATGCTGGGACTGGCAGAGCAGTGACACATGCAAGGTCCCCAGGCCCTGATGACATGGTGAGCACTGCTGTATCTCCCACTTTCTGCCCTTCTACTTGAGAACTCCCAACTCAGAGAAATCAGAAATTTCCTCATCATTTAAGCTACCTTTGGTTTGGGTCTTCTGTTACTTTCAGCTGGAGGCCTCCTAAGTTACGTACACAGCCTTCTCTGCCTGACCCTCTCCCCCTGGCTGGCTGCACCTCATCCGTCAGGCCCAGCTCTGAGGCTCTCTCCATCACCTCCACGTTGGACGTGCCTCCTGCTAGCTGTCCATCCCAGCCCGTGCTGTTTCCTGCAGAACCCTTGGGACTCATTGAACTTCTCTTGTTTATGGACAGTACCCTCCTCCCCTCCACTAGAATGTAGGCCCCAAGAGGGCAGGGATGTGTCTGTCCTATTCACCTCACGTCCCCAGGACTTAGCTCAGTGCTGGCCTATAGTAGGCACTCCAGAAATCATTTCTGGGTGAGTGAGAAGTGGAGAGCTGGCATTCTAAATGGAAGCACTTCCCACCTTGCTAGAAACTGCCTTTCAGAACCTTTCCCCTCCCTCTTTTCAGATTCAAGCTTCTTGTTTCCCTAGCAGCACAGGCTTCATAGCTCACAGATTCAACTTCCAGTCAATTAACCTCCCTGGCATTTCCCCCTAACAAGCATTCTCTCTTTGCCCTTGAACTCTTAAAAAACAGAGAGCCAATACATAAGCAGCTTCCTGGTCTGCAATTCATCTCTCTGCCCAGGATTGATGACTATGTTCTCTAGGCCGAGATCCTGGGCACAGAACTGGAACGGCTTTATCATCCCCCTGGTCCACTCCCTGCTTTCTCTGCCAGTAGCCCCCACCTAATCTGCTGCTGGGGAAACAAAGTCATGTTGGTGATGGCATCGTGGATCCCAAGAATTCCTCAGAAGCTGGAAATGGCAGCTCAGACAGGGAAAGCGATCCGGTTACAGACAGTAAGTGGAAGACACAGGAAGGGAACCTAGGTTTCCTTTCTCTCCAGGTTCCAAGATCTTTTCAATAATCTGTTACTTTTCTTAGATGGAGAGAGAGAAAACTGGGAAAAATGGAAACCAGAATTTCCATTACCTCCAGGGTAATTCAGAGTACATCAGTTAAGTTATGTGAGCCTCAATTTACCCATTGTGGTGCTCAGCCAGCCCCCTCTCAGTGTGCATGCTTGTACTTCTTAGAAGATCACGCAAGGGCTGATAGAAGGGTTATGAAAACACTAAAGTGGCTTTTCTGCGAAGTCCAGGTTTGAGGGTCCATCTAAATCAGGCACTTAAAAATTTGACCTCTTACAAACATGCGGCCCTGTCCTTAGCAAGAAGCTTAACCTGACACACGCGTCGTCTGCTTGCCTCGTCTCCCGGGCCATCTCTCCCCAACCCCAGGACATCTGGCGCCTGCGGCTGACCCATGAGTTGCCTCTCCTGCCCCCAGAGCAGAGCGATCTGTCCTCCGCCTCGATTCAGGCCACCATGAAATATTTAAGCAGCCCTGACAGCACATAACTTACTTTGACTGGATTCTGCTAGGATCGCATGTTGGGTTACAGATGAGAGGCCTGACCATCTAAGGCACAGAAGTCAGAGGTCTGGTGCGGAGCTGCCTGCAAAATGGGGACAGAACACTAAAAAATAAATCATAACTTAGGATGCCACTTTTTAAACGAATGCAAACTTGGCAAGCTCAAACTTGCTGCAGGCTCCTAAAGAAGTAGCCAAGATCTGAGAATCCATTCCAGGCCACGGAGGATTGCAGTCTTTAGAGTCATAAAGACCTGGATTCACATGCAGGCTGGCCACTTTCTCGCTGAGTGCCTCCGGTGAGACTCACTTTCTCTATCTGTAAGTTGGGGAAAACAAGCCCTCCTCCCCAGGTTGCCGTGAGGCTTAAAGGCATTAAGGTATTTGGAGGTGTCCGGTAGGTGTTTACTTTATGTGAGTTTCCTCCTCCCATCCACCTGGGGGCTTCTCATCTGGATCACCTTTTGGAGCAAGAGACAGCCAGGCATCGCCTGATGGATACCAGTGGCGTGTTAAAGGTCACCTGGCACTGGAACCAAATTCACTCCATCCAGGCAATTAGATGGTACTCTGGATCCTAGAATTCCTTCACCTCTCACCTCATTCCAAAAAAAGGATCTGAGGCTGTTTACTACGAAGTGTGTTTATGTACGCTACTGCTAATAAAACAAGAGTGGGAACAATGACAGCTCCTGTTTGCAGAGAGCTTCCTATATACCAGGCACTGAGTTAAGTGCCTTGCCTACATTAATGTTTTCTCAAAGATTAAGAAAAATGCAACCTCCTGGCAAGCAGGTGGAAGCACATCTGCTAAGCACTGACGGCCCTTTCTGGCTTTAAGGCGGCACAACTCCGAGTTCTGGGTCATGGTTATAACATAAATTGTTTCGATGGGAGCCAAAAATAAAAGCATTTGGACTAGAGAGCTCTAGAGTCACAATAACAGAATTAATTTTTCCTACAGGAGTCTCAGCAGTAAAGGTACTTCTGTAGCTGGGAGTTTGTAGCCATAAAACCTAAATGTCAGTCGCTCCCCCAGTGTCACATTACATGCCACCCTCCCCCCACTTATGGCCTCCAGCTCTGACCTTGGTGGATGGCATCTTACATATTTTTTCACCCTCTTTACTATCTTTTCCAGCCAGTGTTATGATAAAGTCAAAGCAAATGTTCCAACTTCAAAGCCTTTCCCCTATTGTCCTCGTGGTCCCTCAGGGGATCCTGTAAGGCCAACTGTATACCATAAGCAATCCATTGGGTTATATCCAGTTTGCATATTGGACACTCACACCACAGGAGGAAAGCCTGTGGTTGAGGGTCCGAGGTCTCTCTGAGCTCTCTGGCAGCCCGTTCCCAAAGGGAAACTCAGCGAAGGCTGGAGGGAGGAAGCCCACACTTTGGCTGGTGTCGCTTTGGCTTGGCTCCTTTGAAGGCAGCACCATCTAATAGGCTTTGGGCTGGATAGCTGCTTTTCGCCTCTTTGGCTGTGGCTTCTGCGGGGTGAACACGGGATGTGTCTGCCCCGCTCAGTGCAGAATGCCCGTAGGATCTGGCAGGTCCTAAGCACCCCCCCCATCACCTCCAGAATGTGCCGTGCTCTCTCTACATGCATGGACTCCACAAGCTCCATTTCACGGAATCTTGTGTCTACCTCAGTCTCCTGTGAGGTAGGCAGTCCTCCCCCTTTGACAGATGAGGAAAAGGAGGCTCAAAGGGACAAGGCGAGCTGCCTGCAAGTGGCAGAGCCTGGGCTAGCCCCCAGGTCTCCTGAGTCTACATGCACCTTCAGAGAGGCACCTGAGAGGTCACAGTGCCGGGACTCAAACCCAGGACTCTAGACTCTGAGTTCAGCACTCACCAAAGTCTACCACACAACCCCAGGCTTCCAGCCATCCATTCGATCAATATTTACTGCCCACCTTCCAGGGACCAGGAGCTACTGGAGGCCCTGAGGACAGAGCTGTGAGCAAGACAGACAGGATCTGTGTCCCCGTGGGCTCACCTTCTAGTGGAGGAGACAGACTATAAATAAGGAAGCCGATAGGTTGACAAAATCATTCCGGTTGGGACAAGTCTCACGGTGGAAATACGCAGGGGCCATGGAGGGAAGAAGGGCTGAGGCTGTGGGGTCGTTGCTTTAGACAGGAGGGTCCAGGGAGGCTTCTCTGAGGAGGCGACGCATCTGAGAACTGATAAGCCTCATAAGTTGGAGGCAGAGATGGAAGAGAGAACAAGCAGACGGCAGCCTGGAGGTGAGAAGTCTCTGTGACAGGGACCAGTACAAGGGTGGTTGTGGCCAGGAGGTCATGAATGAAGACAAGAAGGGCTTGGTGAAGTTGGACACGGGTTAGCCATGGGCTTGAGGACATGGAGGCTGAATATCTCCCTAAGAGCAAGGCAGAGGCAAGGAAGGGTTTGGGCCTGGAGGGGACAGGACCAGATTTGCATTAAAAAGATTACTCTTGGCTGCTGGGGGTGTGTGTGTGTGTGTGTTTGGGGGTTGGGGGAGCGGGGTGCAGGTGGGGATCCGGGAAGCCAGTGAGAAGCAGCTGTGGGGGCCCAGCACGCCTGCCCTAGGGTTGTGGTAATGAAAATGGACAAAAGGGGCAGATTTGGGTCATGGTTAAAAACAACATCATCAGGACTTATGGGTGGCGTAAAGGTGAGCAGGGAGGGAGTGGGAGGTGTTCAGGACGACTTCCCAGCTCTTGGCTGAGCACACTGTGTGAAGAACAGGGCGGCTATTTGGGGCAGCTGGAACAGGGCTGTGAGGGCAGGACCTGGGGGAAGATGGAGAGCCCTGTGGCAGGCTCAGGTCTGGAGTCCCACCCCGCAGCAGGGGCCTTTCTAGAAGCAACCAGACCCCTCCACCCACGGAACGGGCAGATAACAATCCCCACCATGCCCCGAGCCTTCCAGGAGCCCCAGCCAGCCAGGCCCTGCTGCAGCCAGGGCCCTGCACTCTCTAGATTGGGTTCCTGGAAAAACTGTTCAATTATTGATAAGGAGCCCTCCTGACATCACTGAAAGATGACGAGGCTCTCCTCACTTAAGAAACGCCTCTCCGTCCTGCAGATCTGGGTCCTCCAGCTCAGCAGCTGGAACACGGGGGAACCGGGGGAGGGGACAGTGCAGCAGTGGAGATGCAGCCATAAGACAACACTGTGCACACAACAACAATAAGGACACGCTGAAACAGCTGACGCTTTCTGAACACGTGCTCTGTGCCAGGCAGGGGTCCAGGCTTCCAGGAGGTTTTTTCAGAAGATGAATGGGAAGATCCCATCCAGAAGACTAATACCTTCCTCTAAGTTCTTCTTCAGAACTCAAAGAGGGATGTCCTATAATGATTCCCACTTTACAGGAGAGAAAATGGAGGCAAAAGGACGTTAAGTAAGTTGCCCCAGGTCACCCAGCTTGGAAATAGCAAAGCCAGGTTTCAACCCCAACAGCTTGGCTCCAGAGTCCCTGGAAAGCCTCACTCCTCAGGACGGTCCCCATGTGCTGGCCCAGCGGGGAGTGGGAGCTGGCAGCAGACGGGCTCCCCGGCCTGTCCTCATTAGAATGAATTAATGAGATGGAACGACGTGGGGAACTTTTAACTGAGGCCCTGTTAGGGGCTTATATTCACTCCTTTGCTTAATTTGATTTACTAACCCCTTGTGAAGTGAGAAATCTTGTCCTGCCTATTTTACAGATGAGAAAACTGAGGTTAAGAGAGAAGAGAGGTTTTAGCCAAGACTCAGAAGCCAGGAAAGGACAGACCTGGAATGAGAACTTTGGTCGTTTAACTCCAAGGGCAGTGACTTCTCTAATTTTGCAGCACATACACATATATGAATACTATATATATAAATTCCTCAAGTTCATTGAAAAGAATATTCCTGTTTCAGCACAGAGCACACAGCTCTATGCTCCACAGCGCGTTCTGATGCCTGATGTTGGGACTACCTCTGAGTGTGTCCATAACCACAGACAGCCCAGAGAAACATCCACTCTGAAGCTAACATTCGAGCTGCTTCTGTGTGTCTTTCTCTGATCTTGCGTGTGTGCTTTTCTTTTTGTGGCCTTAGAAGAAAGTTATACACTACACCCATTCCTCTAATCTTCCACCAATTTACTGCTTTGAAATATTCTACTGTTTCTCTTTACTTGGCTGTCTTGGAACTTTTTTTCAATATTCCTCCTTCTTCCTCTTCCTTGCTTCTTTCCTTTGTCATTCAACCATTGTTGACTGAGCACTTGCTTGCAGCTGCGATGTTGCAGAAAGAACATTGAGTGGGGCAAAAGAAATCCCATCGCTGCCCTTTCCTAGCTCTGTAGCCTTGGCTCTTTCACCTCTCCCAGCCTCGGTCTCCTCATCTGTAAAATGGGCTAATCCTACAATGTATGCCACACGGGTTGCCACAAAGAAGAAACATGGTCACAGCTGTGAATGCGTCTGATATAAAACTTGGCGTGCAATCGGTGCGTGGTAAATGTTGACAGACACTAAGACTCTGGGTGTGAGAGGAGACCGGAGGATCAGACGCAGACCCTGCCCTTGTGGAGCTCCCTGCCTAGAAGGGGAGATACGGCAGAAATAAACAAGGCAGACTGTGACAAGGAAGGGGCAGATAAAGTGTTCTGAGGACTGGCAGGAGGGAGAAAGCTTGTCAACTAAGTGCCTTAGGTTCTCCAGAACAGCCTAGAAACACATTCCTACCTCTCTCTCTCTGACGGGTCAGGAAGATGTTTTTCTAGGCCAGATCCAAATCTGCCCTGAATCCTCAGTAAAATAGGGCAGAAGGTAATGAGAAGGAATTGAGGCGACACTATGTGATTGAGGCCAGCAGGCTTAGAAGCAGCAGAAAGCTCCCTCGGGCTGGACCCACCCATGGGCAAGAGCCAGAAGTCCAGGTCTGCCCTGAGGCCTGGCTCTGCCACCTCCTGGCTGCGTGGCTTTGGACAAGGGTCCCACCACCCTAAAGCCTCAGGCACATCACCTTATAAAATACAGCTAACAATAGTTCCTATCCTCAGGGATGTGATGAAGACTGAGAGAACCATATGCGAGTTCAGGACACATGCAGTTTGCATAAGGACCAGCTTCTAACTTTTGTTCTCTTTCTGGTAAGCGGGGGTTTGAGGCTTGTCTGAAGCAGGTGGATTTTACTGGCTGATTAGAATTTTGGTCGCTCTATTGTAGGACAACCAAAGGGTGCGCATGTGACAATTTTCTGTTTTCATTATTCAACAGAGGAAGCTGTCAGAAATATGTGTGTTTTGACTCAACGGGAGCAAACCAAGTATGAGAGAGCCAGGCTCCTGCTTCCAGCTCAGAGCCGAGTTCAGGGGCAGCATCCATCCTACTGGACCTCACGCTTATGTCACAGGGCGGGTTTAAGGTGGACTTCATGGGGAGGATACCCATGAGTGCTCTAGCTGGCAGTGGCCATCAAACAGGGACACGCACTGTGAGAGGCAAACACCATCAATGATGTCCAGGGCTTCACAAAGCACGCAGACACACAGAGGCTCCGCGGGCTCATTCATGCAGTGAGCTCATGCATATGCATGAAGGAACTGTTCAATGACCAGTCAAGGGACACTTTCTGAGCAGGAAAGGAAAGAGCATCAGACCTGGGATGTAGAACTCTGTGCAAATCCAGGTTCTGCCTCTTCATTTCTCTGAGCCTCAGTTTCCTCATTTGTGAAAATGAGGATAATAACCGAGGCTGCTGGGAATATTAAATTAAAGAATTCATATGAAAATGAAGTGCTCGGAAGGTAGCAGGGCTTAATAAATGCTGGTTAAATTGGAATCTGCCGAGGACTACAGGGACATCAAGATTGAACGAATATTTATTGGGATCCTACAGTATGTCAGCCCCATGTCAGGTTCTGGGCATATGGAGATGAATAAAACATGCCATTGTGGGGTCCCTATTTTAGACAGTGGGACAGATATACACAAATGTCCGGAAAGACATCACAGCAGAAGCGAAATTTATGCCAGGTTTGAAGGGCATGAGTGACTGTGCAGTCAGAGACAATCCTGAGCTTGCGAAGTCCTCTTTAGCTATTTCTGGCTTTGAAGAGTATACCCATGGAGAAAAATGAGATTCAATTCCAACTGGTTAAGAGACCCCAACCAAAGGGCAGAGGGACAGAAGGTGATGTCAGACTCCTAGCTTGGCCAGCACAAGTCTAGTCATGTACCAGCCATCCCACTTCACAATCCCAGAAACACGCCACCATCACTTAGATCTTGAACTTCTCCTTGGCTTCAAATCTCCAGTCCCAGGGGGGCAATGACCTCTCTGTGGTTCCCGTTGAGAAGCAATGTTCCACAAATCTTCCCTTTGCCTGTCCAGTCCCACATTCCACCCTCTTCCACCCTGCCCTGTGCTTCTGGGGTGGCTGATCTTGGTGGACTGAATCAATGGAGCCCCTTTGCCCTCTGGTTTCTGGTTGGAGCCTGAGAAGGAGATGGGAAGGAGGGAGGAGACTGAGGTTGGGGTATTTATCCCCCTGCCTCCACCTTGCTGGGCCCCTGTCGGTTGGCTGGGTTCCTCTACTAAAGGCCACAGCTCCTGCCAGGTGGACCTCTCCACACAGTGCTCTGTTTCAGGGTGCAGGTCACCACGCCATCTCCTCACCTTTCAGGCCTAGGGGAGGTGACAGCACCCTGCTATTACCGGCCCCAAGGGACTGCGCTATCCCTGTGGCTCCCGACACCTTTGTAAATAGCTCCTTTATTAGACTCTCCTTAAATCGCCTAATTTGAGTGTGCCATCTGTTTCCTGCCAGCCCCCGACTGACACCTCCAGGTTCTCAGAGACTGCTTAGCTCTGTGCATATATTTTTCTGGACCAGTGGAAAATAAGGCTGGAAATTTGGCCATGACAAGGTTGTCCTTCCAAATCTTTGCTCATCCTGTTTGCTGTTTGGTTTGGGCCAGCCACAGAGTCGCTTTTCCTCCCAGTTCTAAGGGAAAGCGGCTTTCAGGCCTAACCTAAGATCAGGAACCTCAGACGTATACGTGGACAGAATTCACATGAACCACCAAGGCCTGTTCATCTCCCACACGTGGTGATTCTCAGGGTCAATTAGCAATTACACGTGCCGAGCCCTTGGAAGAATATCCGGCATACAGCAGGTACTCTTCATCTTATTTGGTCATACCATTGGCTTGACTTTGTTCCCTAAGGATTCACATAGATATCGTCCCAAACATCCATTCTGCTCTGTCGTCTTGTCATTTATACATCTGCAATGTGTAGAAATGTACTTCACATTTTTTGAGCTCCTACTAGGTGCCAGGCACTTCAGACACATAGTAGAGAGGGGTATTGACACAGTGGATGGACGTGCTTCCTCTACTCATTTCCTGCCTTATCCATTTCCTAGCTTGTGACCTTGAACCAGTTACTTAAGGCCTTGTTAATGTCTCAGTCTCCCCCTGTGTAAAATACATACAATAATTGTACCTACTTCTTAGAGTTGCTGTGAGGAGTAAATGAGTAAGATGTGTAAGGCACTTACACACACTTATTATGATCACTCACATTATTGCATTTAATCTTCATAACAATCCTAGCGGTATACGTGACTGTCACATCTTTGCAGGTCTGTCTGACTCCAAAGCCTGGGTCCAGCAGGCTGTCTCTAAGGTCATGGAGATTATGTCGAGGGGAGTTCAAGAAGAGGTGTAACAAATTATTAACAATGGCCACATGCTATGTGTGGGATCAATACTATGTGGCAGGGCTAGCACCTTACATACATTATCCTGAATAAAACTTACAATGATGCAAGGAAGAAACCATTATCAATTTTACATGAGAAAACTGGGGCACCAAGGGTTAAGTTACATGCATAGAGTCATGCATAGTAAGTGGCTCTGGCAGGATTGAATTCTGGTCTCCCCTGACTCGGAAAATCGTGTTCTTAACCACCAAGAAAAAACGGAGTACCCACTTCTCAACTGACAAAATTGGGGGATCCCACAGAAAGCTGTCCGGGGGATTCTGCACTGTGAAAGCCATCTCAATATAAACCAGGTTGGCATGCTCTGCTGCAGCGACGAGGAGCATAGCTTAGCGCTGCGACTGGCAAATGCAGCATCTGACATAATCTATTCCATTACTGAACACGCAGTGGCTCATGCTAAAAAAAAAAATGAAAAGGAAAGAAAGAAAGAAAGAAAGAAAGAAAAAGGCTATAGAAATGATAGGAAAGCAGGAGATCCAGAACCCGGCCAAATGAAAAGCAGTGGCTGGCACTACTGAAGCTGATCACAGTGGCCATCAAACAGGAAGCTGGGGGGGGGGACCCTAACTGTCCAGGTCATCACCATCCCCGCTTGTGGGACAATGAAGGATGAGGGCACTTTGACAAGGCCTGGTTCAGCCAGGCTCACACAGCCAGGCCCAGCTGTACAAAGCAGTGTCACTGCCTCAGAGGAGACCATCTGGGGGGACAAGAGCCCCAGTATACAGTTGGTCCTCTGTGTGTGCTGTCATCGTGCGGCTCTGCCTTGACTTGCTGCCTGCACCAGGGCAGGGAGATTGCCCTACTTCCCTCTTAAAGGCGTTCACATGGGGAGGAAGAGACAAACGAAAAGCAATGGGAAAATAGGATCTAGCTTCATCCAACACAAAAGAGGGTGGGAGAAAGCATAATGTGCGTCAAACCCAGCATGCAACAGACTGGGGATGAGGCTGAGATAGGGGCTCTCCTGAGAGAGAAAGCCAGAAGGACCCAGCAGTGGGTACCTGCCACTATGGAGTGCTGAAGACTTGCTAGAACCAGTTCAACTGTGGGATGAGAGCTTTTAGTCTGGATGGCTTCAAGGACAAGAAGCCCTGGATTCCACACCTGGCTCTGTCCCCTGGCTGGGCAAACGTGCCAACGCAGCTGTACCCTGTGATCCCGCCCCCCTCCCCGCCCCCCCCCCCCGGCACGTTTGATTGGGCCACGGGATGAGATCAGCTGACCCCAGATAGACCAATCTCACTGGAAGGGACCCCCCCCCCACCCCCAAGGGCAGGGTTTGTTTTCTTTTTTTTCCCTATTCTGTGCACCGCTATATCCTAAGAGAATGCCTGGCACATAGTAGGTACTCAGTATATATTTAACTGAATCTTTTTCTGTGCTTCAAGTCAGGATTCAGCCAACTGGCCTCTGCGGGGCTGGCACTAAGGTGCCCCCAAACCGGGAGCTGAGGCAGCCTCCTTCTGCAAAATCGATTGAGGGATGTGCAGAGGGAAAAGGAGGAGGGCTAGGAAGCAGAAAGGAGAGGGATGGAGGCAGAGAGTCCGGACGGAACTCCAGAACACCTCCCTGTACCCTTGTGATGATGTTCCCCTCCTTTATCCTTAAGCTAGCTTGAGTGGGTCTTGATATTTAAAACTAAGTCATTCGAACCAAAAGAGCACGTCTCCCTGAAGTCTTCTTTCCCAAAGAGATTGGGGCAAATCCCCGGGAACACTTGAAGTATTCTTAGCTAAGTGCGCTTGGAGGCAGGAGGGCCTTTAGTCCTTCCCCAGATACCTTGTCTGATCTGCCTGCTGAGCCACCGCGGTGGGAAGATGAAATGGCAACTCTGGGGCCTAACTGCCTTGCTCCCAATCCTGGCTCCTGCCCACCCATCCTGCAACCTGTGGCAGGTTATCTAACTTTTCTGAACCTCAATTTCTTCCCTTGTAAAATGGACATTTATAATAGCACCTACCTCTGTGAGTTATTTGGAGAATATACAGTGCTTAGCACATGGTTAGTGCTAGATAAGTAATAATAATGTGCCCAATACGTTGAACAAGCAGGATTCTTCTAAAAGCAACTTTGTCTCCTGTTTCCCTTTAAACCTATTCATTGCGTGCAATCTGTTCCTTGCTCTAGAATGAGAATATGGGCAGACCCATGAGTATTCTAATCACTATTAGGTAATAAAAGGTCCTGTGGTCACTGTAATTCATTACTTACATCTTCTCCCTTCTTCCCGCTAGGGCCTGCTGCCAGGATCCTGTGGGTTTGGTGTATTTGCTCCTCCACTAGCTTGCTAATCTCTCCTCTGGTCCCTCCAAGGATCATGTGGGGAGAGAGAGGAAAGATAAGGGGGATTGGAAAGATCTTGTCTTTCCAATTGTCTGGAGCTGTCAAAGGCTGGCTTTGCCCTGAGTGTGACAGACGTTTTAAGGTGACAGTTCTGCACCCAGGTTTTCTGGAGATGTCCCTGCTAGTCCACCTATGGCTGTAGCTCCCTTCCTGCCGGCAGGCTTTTCCTGTGGGTAATGGATCTCCATTCATTCCTGCTCTTGCCTCTCCCTAACGGTACTTCATTCTGGACAGGGGACAAGAGTCCTCTCACAGTGACCCCAGGCTGACATTCCTACTGCTGTTCTGAAGGTAACAGCCCCTCCCCCCATGTCCCCTACCTCGGACCCGCCATCCCAAGGTCATGTCCCTACTTCCCCTCCTCTGCTGCCATCAGCCTCTGTAGCCTCCGTGAGCATGGGCCAGATCCAGGCCTAGCATATCCCCAGCTGCATGGCACACAAAACCAGCCCTCTGACAGTCCCGATGGACGGGCTGAGGGTGGGAACTCCTCTCCCAAAGAAGGCTTCATAAAATCTTCCCTGAATGTCAACAACACAACCCTTTTCTACCTTCCCCAGCGGTGAAGAACTTTGAGAAGAGTGTGACTGGTTGAGTTTTTTTTGTAAAGTCTGCCCTTGGCCAGCCTCACCTGTGCTGGGGAAGGCAGCAGCTGCTGTGCCTTGGTGCCTTGGCTAACACTTCAATTTTAACTTCCTGTCACGTTAATAATAAATCGACATGTACGTTTAACCTTTCTCATTCACCACATGTGGCCAGGTGCATTATCTCACCTGTCCCTCACAGCAATTCTCTTGAGGTGGCGATTCTGCTCTCCCAGTTTTTCTGATGGGGAAACTGAGGCACAGAGAGGTCAAAAAGGTTGTCCAAAATCACACAGCTGGAGACTCACAGCCAGATTTGCATTGTGTCCCTGACTCCTTCCCACTGCAGCATGCAGCCTCCCCAGGAGGAAGGCATATGAGGGCTCTGTGCCCTTGCTCTGGGTTGCCCGGCACTTGGGTGTGGGCCTCTCACAGCCCCAGGGCACTCTTGATTCAAGGGATGTCCTAGAGGCCTGCCTGGAGGGCAGCAGCCTCAATACAGAGCAACGACCCAGACGTGAGACTTCCTTGAAGCGGATCGGATCGCAGCAGCCAGCCCTGTGACTGGCAGCTGGGTTCAGAGAACCAGCCAAAGAAAAGCCTTGCTTCCTTTGCACATAAAGCATCCATTCTCAGCCGTACACACTGGCACAGACACTCACAGACCAGCGCCTCAAAGGGCTGGACAATGAAACAGACACAGGCAAGAGCAAGAGAGTTTTTTTTTTCCTTTCCAAATGCAAAACCCAGATAATACTCAACATTTATATATAATTTGCATATGAGCTAAAATTTTTATATGAAAGGCAGAAATTTCTTGTGCCAGAGTTTTTGGGGCAGATGGCTGGGGGAGGTGTCTATAAAGACAGCTTTATAGCCTGTGGCCACTTCCTCATGGTGATCAGCACATGGGCCAAAAATACACCAGCGCCCTTTTCCCCCACATTTTTCATCTTCTACCCATCTTCCTCTCTCCTTCTCCCTCTCTCTCCATTAATGATACCTTCTAGTGTCTAGCCCTGGGCTAGCTACAAAGATGATGGATCCTCACACCTGCCTTCCAGGGGCTCACAGTCAGGTAGGGGAGACAGGCGAGGAAAAACCAACAATGAACATACAGGATAATAAAGGTGGAGATACACGCAGGGTGCGGTGGGACCACAGCGTGGCGAGGGGGCAGGAGAGGTCCAAGAGGATTTTCAAGATATTTTACGACTGGCACTGACTGACCAGGCACAGTGGTTGCCCACCTCATCAGAATGGATTCCAGCCTTTACAGGGAACTGGGTGAGTACCAGCTCATGGGGACTGCGAGAGAGCTTCACAGAGAACGTCACGCCTGAGCTGAGTTATGAGGGCGTCTTCATCAGGCAGACAGACTTTGAGATGAGCAGACTCCAGGCTGAAGGAGCGGTAAAGGCAGATGGGCGGGAGAGACAGTCCTTTAGGGGAACTATCGGGACCTCTTCGTCTCTGATCCCTTAGAGGCCTCGAGTGGTCAGGAGACATTTGTTGAATCTGTGAAAGAATGATGAGTGAATGAATGACGCATAGGCTGTGTGCTGGGGAGTCACAGAGGATAAGTGTGAAGAGCAGGAACAAGGCAAGAATATAGCCACCTTTTACCGTAGTCAACTGTGTGCTAGGCCTTTCTACAGACTGCATTATTCCGTCCTCCCTGTCAGGGGTAAATAAATTGCCAAGATCCGAGGCAACCTCTCACACATAGGAAGTGTTATATAGCTGTTAGTTATTATTAACCCAAAGTTACAGATACACAGGTTCAAACTCAGAGAAACAACAGTTTGGACAGCCAGGTCTGTCTGACACCAAATCCCTTTCTCTTAGCCCGTCCCTTACGGGGGAGTAGGACTGTTTAACTCAGGTGAATTCCACTACACACTGTGCACACTTGGAAAACAAAACAAGATGTTAAGAACCTGGGCCATTCCTCTCATTGTAATTCTCAAGGGCCTGTGCCCTGGAGTAACTGGGGTTGCGGGTGGGACTGAATCTGCTGTTCCCCACACGCATCTCTGTTCCCGTGGCCTCGCGTAGTCAGAGCATCTCAGGGTGTTGCGTGTGCTTTCCACATAAGAAGCTTCCTAAATGCAAGCAAGCCTATACTTCATTTTGGGCTCAATCAAAGAAACAGTGATCTGGTCTGACCACGGAAGCTCAACAATCTCACCGAACCCCACACATCCTGGGGTTGACAGGCAAGTTAAGGCATTTTCAAGGGTGGTTTTATAATATACATGACCTCGCAGTGCATGTGTTCCTCCGGTGAGGAGGCAGGAACGATTTCCTCACAAGGGGAAAAACTGAGCTAGAACCAGTTACACTCGCTTTGTGAGTGGAAGAAAAAGCCTGGGGCCTGGGGTAGTGGAGGGTAGTGGGAAGGAGTGTTCACTTTTGTTGGCTATAACACACACATACACACACAGACCTCCCAACACACCGCCTGAACCTGTCAAGAGTAGGGTCCAAACTTAGTGGGGTCTAAAGCTGTGGAATTCAATGGCCCAGTAAGGTGCCGCTGTGCTGTGTGCAGCCTCCCAGGGCAGTAATGGGCAGCTGTCTTCCTGGTAAAGGTCCTTGGCTTGGCAGTCATCCCTATGCCCCTTTGTCCTTGGAGTATCTGGAACTTTCTGAATCTATGTGCCCAAAGCACCCAACTCTTGTCGACACCCAATATTGGTTTTCCAAGCTGTGGGAACACAATGAAAATCTAATAGACCCCACTCCTGTCTTGTGGAGGCCAGCCCCTGGTTCTCCACGGCCCCGGTCTTTCTGTAATTCGTCTTTGCACCCCAGCTATGAAGGCTCCATGACGGCATCGGAAGGTCCTCTCCAGGACAAGCAGGAGCTTCTGAGCTGAGACCTTTGCTCTTGAGAACATGAGCGTCAAATCTCAAACAAGTATAACAGCCATTGCTTGGATCCATTTTCTATAGCGACCCAGCCTCACAGGCACCAAATTACATCCAGATTTTACCCCACACAGCAAGACAGAAGAAAAATAAAATCAGGTGACTTTGTCATTTGTCTCTCATGAACACGGCTTATGAATATTTTTCTTTAAAAGACTAATGTGCTGAGGACTTGGGAAAATGTGTTTGTGTGCATTCATTAGGTCCCCAACTCAGAAACACATTCTGGGACTAATTACCTTTTAACTAACTAATCAGCATGTTTCATTCATAAATTGGGATTTATCTGTATAGCACATGAAAGGAAAGAACATATTATTATTTTAATTTGTTTAATATGCAAAAACGCGCTGTGTTTGTAATGACCTGCTTTCACTGAATAGAGGCAGGCTGGAAATAGTAGCAGCGTCCTCTAATGAGGGTGCTGGCTCCCGGCCCCAGCTGTTCGCCACCAGACACTAGGCTTGCTCCCTGACCCAGCAGTGCATGCGTTCCTCCGGTGAGGAGGCAGGAGCAATTTCCTCACAAGGGGAAAAACTGAACGTCTTGTGTTTGTCTTGTGTTTGTTCTGCTGACAGAACCAGTTACACTCGCTTTGTTAGTGGAAGAAAAAGCCTGGGGCCTGGGGGTGGAGGGTAGTGGGAAGGAGTGTTCACTTTTGTTGGCTATAACACACACACACCCCCTGAACCTGTCAAGCGCAGGGTCCAAATCTATTAATAAGAGATTCCACTGTAATCTAGTGGTTCTTGTCTTCTCTCACCCTATTGTGCCCGCCGTCCCATATGCAGCTTGTCTGCCATCCATGCAAATAAATCCTCTGTTCTGAAGTCCCCTGATAAAGGGATTTATTTATCAGCCCGACCTGAGTATCTCATTTGTTCCTGCAAATGAGTGGCTCCTCCTCACTCTCCTGCACTCTGATTTAGAGCCATGGAGCCAGGGCCCCAGGTTCAGCCAGTTTATCAGGAGCCCGGACTATCTCCCCACCCCCTCCAAGCATCAGGTCCCACAGCTCTGAGCCAGAAGCATGTTGCCCCTCTGGCCTGTGGAACTGCTCTGGCCTCACCTAGAAGTGCAGCGTGGGGAGGGGTGGGGGCAGGAGTCACACTGGCCTTTCTGTGACACACTGGAGCAGGGTCCAACTACATTCTTTCTGTCCAGCCTTGGTGCCAGCCTGCCAAGGTCTCTGCCCGGGGACATCCTGATGTGGCACATTCTATAGCCAGTCGCTGCTTTTGTGTTTTAAAAGGAGAACATTTCCTCTTCTGGGCTTTTTTTTTTTTTTTTTTAATTTTTACTCTAGGAGCTATTTTTAAATTATGAAGGAAATATACATGCTTATTAGAAAATTTAGAAAAAGCAGAAAACTACCCATTAAAAAAAGTCTACAATCCCACTACCAAAAGACAAGGAGTGTATACACTCCCATTTGGGGTACTTCATTCTGACCCTTTGTGCCTGTGGCAGAGCAGGTCCTCTCAGCGAGTGACAGCAGGCGGGGCTTCCTTTATTTGTGAAGCAATACTAAAGGCGGGTGGAAAAAAACTGTGCTGTGTTTTAAATGTTTGCATGCAACAGTCAGAGTCACGTGATAAAGGGCAAGCGCTATCTGTGACTATGCGTAACTATTCAGAGCACCCCTGCGAGTCTTTATATAACTGCACTTAGAGATCATCTCAAAAGTCTAAATTTGAGACCTGAGGTGGACACGAGGGCAAGTCAAATCGCTCTCCTGGGTCCCTGCCCCACCTCCCCGGGTCTGGTGTATGTGTATTTGGGCTTATATCATATTTGAGATCCTACTACGTTCACATCGTTGTATTCTGACTTCCTATTATTTTGTTAACATTGTTACAAGTCTATAAAAATTCTTCTGCCACAAGGTTTTGAATGGCTACCCAGCATTCCATTACGTAAACTTACCATTTAAGTTTTCACCCATTATTGAACATTTCAGATGATTCCTTTTTTTCTTCACCATGATAAATAATACTGCATTGAACATCTTTATATGAAAATCTTTGTGACTCTCTGGGGTTATTTCCTTTGGATGGATTCCTAAAAGGAAAATCACTGGGTCACAGGGTAGGAACATTTTAGTGTCTGGTTTCATATTGCTCAATGTGTTTCTAAATAGGTGGTACTGATTTACTCTGAAGGTTAGAACATCTTCATTGTTTTAATTAATCTTTAATCGCAGAAGTAATTCACAGACTACACACTCCTTGTAAAAGATTTTAAAAGGTAAGGCCTAGAACGCTTTTAGCCACTTGCTCCAATCTCTCAGCCGCTCAGACGTAGCCATGGTTTCAGTTCAGCAGAAGTTCTCTATCAATGCATTCAATTAGTTATCTGTGTGCTTATAGAAAATGCATATCAATCAATTAATAAAAACTCGCATCGGTCTGTAACTATAGAAAACATGGTATTTTTGTGTGTGGATTTTTTTACATGAATGATACCACATTGTATGTATATTATGTGACTTGTTTTTTTCCTTCAGCTATTTGTCTTGGAGGCTTTAATGTGTAAATATAAATACCCCTCACTCTTTCTAACTTACTATACATTTCCATGGGATAGGTATAGCCTAGTTCTGACAGCCATTCATCTATGCATAAATATTTGGGTTGATCCCCAATTTTTTCATTTTTACAAATAGTGCTGCAATGTACACCCTTTCACACCAGCAAGTGATTTGAACAAGTTTTTTCTCTATAGTTGAAATCAAGAAATGGACTTTCTGGGTCATGGGATAGGCACATTTTTAATTTCAATAGATACTGCACATCGTAGAGGATATTTTAAAGAAGAGATCTTCTAGAATGACTTAGATTTAGGTTTAATTATCAGGATGGAGTTCTGAAGTGTGCTGCTGGGTAGGATGTCACCCAAAGTTCTGTCCACATATTCCTTCCTTAGCCCTTCCATCTCTGTCTCCTGAGGACCCTGCATGGGCCCTGATACATACTGCACAGTCAATGAATGTGGGGCAGGTGCTCTCCTCTTCACCAGCCACACCCTCAAGGGGCCTCAACCTGACACCCGATTCCTTTCCGCACCTGCCAACTCTCGGCTCAGCTTTCCAGACAGCACTCAAATATCCCTTCTTCTTGGAAGCCTTCCTGGGAGCCCAGGCTGAGTAAGGCAGTCTCTCTTCCGTGTCCCCATGGCACCCTTTCTCATTGGCTTGTCATGCTTATTGCAATTTGGAATGTAGTCATCTCTCCCCTGTTGCATTGGTTAGGCTCAGGATCTCAATGGTGCACAGCATCTGGGCATCACCTGAGCAACGTTTGTGGACTGCTAACCAAAGAGCAAGTCTGTCAGCTTCGAAAGGGAGGAGGCCAAGTGTATGCAGCATTCTTCATACACAGCTTAACAGAAGAAGGCTGAAAAAAATTAGATGGCTAATAATTGACCCTGGATGGTGAACATGATGTTGATAAAAATGATGAACAATTGGGAAGTAGGGTAAACCACAAACTCTCTCACACACACAAATTTAGAACCACATCATTCACCTCTCTGGAAAGTGTTTATAACACTCCTCACTTCAATATTTCTCCATGAAATCTAGAAGTTTCTCATGCAATTTATCTTCTAAAATGCATCACAAGGAATGACAAACAGCAGCAAGAAAGCTGCTCCAGTAGTTGGAGTATGGCAGCTTATCGTCATAAATCTCTGGGTAGGACCTCAACTATGAAAAGAAACGTATGAAAAAAGACTGGAAATAAATACATCAAAATGGTAATAACGGTTGCACCAGTGGAGTTAGGGTGACGTGAGATGCTTCTTTCTTCTTCTTTTTACTTTTTTATACCTTTCAGATTATTTTACCATGTGTTTAAATTCATTTTAAATCACAAAAGTAGAAATAACCAAAAAAACCTCTGGCAATTAACGAAACTTCTAAGGAGAAACTTTTAAATAATCTGTAATGCATGTACATATATGACAAGAGAAAATAATTCCAAGAGGACCACTATCAACTCTGAGATTACAGGCACTCATTCAGTAGTAGCTGGGTACCGTGGGAGGTGCCGAGGATTGGACTAGGGGCAGAGGATATAGGGGTGAACACCAGGTGCACTTCCCATCCTCACGAAGAGCACAGCCTGGCAGGAGCCACAAACTCAAGTACTAATGGGGGCCAGGCAACAAGGAGAAAGGAGTGAAACTATCAGTGGGCCCACTCCTAATATCTGCTAACATTTGGAGGCCCAGGGAAAGAGTATAAATGGAAGTCCATTTACCATATGTCTAAATATTTATGTTTCAAATCAAGTTAACGAGTTGAAGTAACTTCTAGCCTCCTACCTTGACAAATATACCTGTATAATGACCTGGAAGGCTGAATTCAAATGTATAATTCTCAGATTTCCTCCCCTGAAGATGATGACATGGGGAGAACTGGTCCTCAGCCCAAGGTGCCCCCCGCCCCCAACACACCATCTGCTCTGCTTCTCTTCCCATGTCTGACTCATCTCACACAGCAAGGGGCTTTGTGCAGGTGGATGGACACCCAGGCTGCACATTCAAGCTTCGTTCCCTTCCCTTTCCTTGGGAAACACCCCAGCTTTCTCTTGGCCACCCCTCGGGCACGGAGTGTGCATCCTAGCAGTGCTATTCGCCCTTGGGAGAAGTGACATGTAAAGACGCCTCTGCAGGCTCCGGAAGCAGGCTTGGGTCACGTGGCAGGGAATTTCAGGGTCCCTGGGCACCAGCAGCACGCTCTGCAGGAGGTAGTGCAGGCATTCCTCAGCTCTATGGGCTCCTGGCTGCAGGTGGAAGGGCACATTCACATTTGGAGAGGGGCCAGAGCAGGGCCTCTAAACCCAGGGCCAAAGGCAGGGTCCCACTTGCCTGTGTCTTAGGGCAGCACTGTCATTTGGGCGTGTAGGGACTACGGTGAACTGGAGAGCAGATGCCCCATCTTACAAACAGCAGTGGCCACTCAACTCCAGCCTGAACTTGCCATACGTGAGAATCCAGACGGCCACATCTTCCACTTTTTAAAGAGAAGACATAAATCTGGGTTTTATGAAATTGCGTGGTTTTTACATGTTAGCAAGTAATAATTTTTAAAAAATGTAAATTACTCTGCAGGCTGAACCTAAAATATCCGTGAATCACCTGCCTGTGATCTCTGTGGAAGGAGAAAAGAAAATTAAAACTCCATTTACATGTTGCTTGACCACTATTTGGTTTCAAAACTGATATTCACCAATTTATAAACACCACTTAAGCTCATAAGTAAATGATGCTATGTCTCCATTGCTGTATATATATTTGAATTTCATGCATCTTCTATTTTCCAGCAGAAACCCAATTTACTTTGTACCTTCCAGTACTGATGTATGTCCCCATAAGCTATCTGGAAAGGCCTGATGTCTGGACCTGCGCACTTTTCCTCCCTGATGCTGACTTCCACCATGCTCTCCTGTGGCCCGCCATAATAACCTGGGCACATGCCTCTCACTGCACTTCCCATAGACTGCTATCATTAGCTCCTTACATGTCTGTCACTTCAAGAAGTATCTCCATTTCCCCAGGGCCTACCACAGAGCCTGTCACATGGTAGACACCTAGTCCATTCTGTTTGTTCTGAACTGAAATCATTGGTGGTTGGTTCTCTGTGATGACCCACAACTCCCCAGTCACAAATTAATAATAATCATAGCTGACATTTCTTGGACACTTGCTATAAGATAGGTGCTGTGCTAAGAGCTTTCCAGGTATTACCTCATACGGTCGTCTCAACTAATTGCTCAGCAATTTGCATCCCCATTTTCCAGATGCAGGAACTGAGGTTCAGAGAGACAAAAAGACCTGATCACGAGTCATTCAGCTGGCAAACGGCAGAGGTGGGACTTCAACCAATCTTGGCTGATTCGAAAGATCTGTGCTCTTAACGAGTAAGCCAGTGCTTCCCTAAGAGTCCACTGACAGTCCTGGGGATCCTTTCAGGCAGTGCACACAGGAACTCTTATTCTAATTACCAGGCACTGGTTTGACTCAGTATGTATTTATTTCAGTGTGTGTGAGGAAAAAATAAATGACGGCATCTGTTTATGGCATGACATACTGATTTTTCTATTTACATTAGTGATACAAAATTTTCCTTTTAAACCTATTTGGTTAAGTTCTAAAAATTGAGTCCATTTACAAATAATGTTGGGTGAATAATAACTAAGATAGGAAGTACAATATGACAGCAAAAATGATGTGTCTTAGTATATAAAAAGGACTAGGATTTGAAAAACACTGCCTCATAAACCAACATGTATGGATTAAAAAGAGACACACACACACACACACACACACACACAAAATGAAACTAATTTTTAAACTCACCATGCACTTACAAATTTGTAGAATGTTTCTTAAAAAATCCAGCCCAGACCTTGCCTAACGAGAACTCCAACCAGCCTTTAAACTTCTAAATTTGAAGTGTGTTTATTTCTTTTTCCTTTTCTATTTTTGGAACTTAAATGGCTGAATGGATTAAAAAAAATTGCCTCTAAATAAAAAATGAGCTAGGGGCTGGCAGGTCTCATCTACCTCTTTTCGACTCTGAGCAAATGGTGAATTACAACACCCCTGGACGTAGTGGTTTCTAACTACCAAGCTGCCAGGCTTTTAAATAACAGCAGCGCAGAAGTGTGGCCATAACGCTACCTATTTCCCTTGCTAAATTATTTATGCATTTATTATATTTTACATGGGCTGTTGAACCTGAAGTTACTTCCATGGGGGCCAGGTCATTTCAAGACGCCCATTACTGAGAATCCACTCAGTTACATTAGAAACTGGCACATCCAATTGTATGGGATATTGCTCATTAATATTATAGAATTACTGTCTCTCCAGTTGTTTTGGGGGTGATAACTTTGTGTGTGTGTGTGTGTGCACTATCCAGTGGCTTCAAGGCAATTCACTTCATTAAGAGGCTGTTTAACATTGAGGGTATGTGAATAGAGACTAGCTTAATGCAGTCGTGGAACTGGACCTAAGATGACTCAGCCAAATGAAGCTATTACCCTGTCTAATGTGTTTCACACAAGATTGAAATGGTTTACTAAGTTTATAAAACCACACTCCAGGATTTACAGTGACTGATTTGCCGGAAGATCAGCAGTGTGGTAGAAGTTTTATGCCAAGAGTAACTTGATGTACACTATTAGGAGATTGCTGTATTTTCCCCAAAACAAGAATAAAATCTGGAGTACTATTTGTAAGATTTTCCAAGTATGCTTGTTGTGAAATTCAACCTAACATTTATTACTTTGGACTTACTTGTGCTTTGTATATAAGACAGACAAAAAAACTAATTAATTTAACCTTAATTCAACAAACACTCACTAAAGGCCTACTATGTGCTGGGCATAATGCTGGGTTCAGGGATGCAAAAGAGAAAAGAAAAGAGTGTCTGGTCTGGGGAAGCAACTTTAGTGGGTGGGATCTAAAGAGTCAATTGCATAATAGCCAATGAAGTGGCCAAGTGTCTGGTCTGTGCCAGCCTAGAAGATACCCATCTCTGCGGGGGTCAGGAAAAGCCAGTGAGGGTGCTTGAGTAGAGCTCCCCTGGCACACAAAGTAGGTGTTCTTGGCAAACAGACAGAAGAAAGGCCAAAGGAAGTCGTGTGGTGAGCACAGGACACACTTGTGGACTCCTCCAGAGACTGGCCCTGCTCCTTTGCCAGCAGAATCATGATTTTGTTTTATGTTTCATGTTGGAGTTCTTTGGTTGCAGGAAAGGTGCATGTGACCCAGTTCTGACCAAAAAGATAACAGGAAGTGTGCTGGAGGGCCCTTGGGAAAGACCTTTCCCCCCGATCAGAGGAAAGCTCATGACCAGAAACTCTCAACTCTTTGAAGCCCTCTGTTTCTTGCTTCTGAATGCCACGGTGTGATGACTGGGGCTGTGGCAGACATCTTAAGACCCTGAAGGGAAGGCCAAGAACATCCAGAGATTTCAACCCAGAGCCCTGACATCACGGACCAGCCAGCACAGCGACCAGCCAGCAACAGCGACCAGCCAGCACTAGCAACCACCCACCTGTAGACTTCTCGATGTGTGAGAAAAATATCTTATTGTTTAAGGGCCTCTTACTCAAGCATTCTGTTACTTGCAGCAAATGGTATTTATGACTTCATAAGCTTGTGGAACCTCAAGGTTTCCGGGATGCTTGGAACAATGCTCTCAGAGCTGGACGAGCTGATGCTAAAATGTCACGCAAGTGTCAGGTCGTCAAATGCACGGGATGCCATGTTAAGGAGTCTGGCCGTGCTTTTCAGACAATGGGTCCTTTCCCAGTGGGGTACATTAGGCGACTGCGGGTGGCACAGAGACAAGACAGCATGTAATCTTGAATCACACAAGAAGATATTTAGTTCCTTTTCCATTCTCTTTTAGTCTTTCTAATTATGTAAAGAAACTTTTCAAGATTGGGAAAGTAAGTCTTTGGCACCTCTCTAACCTTATTAATCTTCCTTTTTAACAAAGAGAAAGATGCATACAGGATCCAGAAGAATTCAATACCATTATTTTGTTTTCATTGTTTTAAATGTGATAATTACCTTTTGGTTATCAGAAGTGATACTAGTTTTTCATTTTGGGTAGCAAATCAATGTGCCTTGAATATATATTTATTTAAGTTTTTTAAAAAGGTAAGTCAGCTTATAGAAAAATATTAAGTAATAGTGTAGGAGCTACACCAATATGGCAAAAATTGTGATGCTGGAATGAAATCACTGAAGTTTGAAAAATACAGTTGACTACATCAGGGAGCCACTGAAAGTGTTGAAGCAATGGAGTAATGCGGACTCTCCGTTTACAGAGATTCAGTGAGCAAGGCCAGGTGGTAAATCTGAAGAGGGCTTTTGCAAAAAGTCCAGGTGAGAAATGATCAGGCTTGAACCAAAGCAGAAGATGGAGAGAAAGAGGAGATGCTGAAGAGAGAAAATGAAGAAAACCTATGGACCAATTATAAGAGGATGGAGAAGGAGGAGTTTAGGATGACTCCTAAGTTTGGCTTAGGCAAGCAAGAAAATGAATCATGGTACCACTGAGTGAGCTAGAGAAAATGGGAGGAGAACTAAGGCTGGGAAGGAGGTGATGCGTTCACTTGGCCACAGTGAACTGAAGGTCCTTGTTAAACGCAGATGGGAGGTACTGTGGACACTGCTTCTCAAAGTGTATTCATCAGACCAGCAGCATCAGCACCACCTGAAAACTTGCTAGAAATGCACATTCTTGGCTCTACCCCACACCTATTCAATCAGAAATTCTCGTTTGTTTTAACTAGTTCTGCAGGTGATTCTGATGTGTACTATAATTTGAGGACCACTTGATAGAGGAAAGAGTTCTGAGTGGAAATACCTGGGCAAAATAACTCATTATAGACAAAGCCCTTCCCTGGGCCTCAGTTTCCTCAATTGCAAAAATGAGGGCACTGGGTTGGCTATAAGACCTCAGCTGAGTCACTATACCTCTCTGGGTCTAAGTGCCCCAGCTCCCAATATCCACCTTCCTTTGCTTCTTTGGTAACAGAATGTGATTTTTAATTCACTACATGAGTGTGACGCAAAGACCATAACTTCAAACCTCTTTTGCCACTAGGTGTGGCCATAAGGCCAAGTTCGAGCCAATGGGAGCAGAACAGAAGCGATATGTGTGCCTTCTGAAAAGTTTCCTCAAAGAGAAGGGTTCTGTCCTGCATCTTTTCCTCCTTCCTTTGGTCTGGAATACAGACATGATGGCTGGAACTTGATCAGCTACCTTGGATCAAAAGGCAAAAGTTACATTTTGAGGAGTGAAAAGCAATAAGAGAGAAGGAAACTGGTTTCTGATCACTTCCTGGAACGGCTCCACCAGCCCTATGCTTACGCTCCCAAACTTCTTTTATGTGAGAAAGGAACTTTTTTGTTTTAGCCATTCTTATTTCGGTTTTTCTGTGCTCTGACATTATTACGAGAAAAACCGCTTGTGCCTTATAACTTTGTGAGAAAACTTTATCAGAATATCTTGGGGGACGGGCCTTGGAATCTGCATTTGACGCAGTCCCATGGGGACCGATGCACACTAAAGTCTGAGGTTGGATGCTTAGAAATCAACTCTTACAATCGTTCTTTAGAAACATATATACATTCTAAGACTAGGGGAGCAAGAAATTTGGACATAAAAGGAAAGAACCATCTTTTTGTTTTGTTTATAGATGACTTTGAACCTCTACTAATTAAGGGTTCCGAAGTGAAACTCTCGGTGGTAAAAATTCTAGCTGAAAGGAAATCATCAGGCAAACTGGACCAGCGCCTGTGAGTTTATGGCGATGTTGGGGTTAGAATTTTGCTCTTGGACTCCCGGCTCTCTGACCTCTGGACCCTGCAGCTTCCCTGCAAGCTCTGAAAAGCTAGTCTTTCTCCAGCACTGCTGGTGAAAATCCTCCAGCCTAGCCACAGGGCGTGAGATGGCAGCTGTCCCGCAGCATGGGCACGTTTTTCAGACTGAGAAGTGAAGTGTGTCCAAGCTAAACAGCAAGGGGTAATCTAGGTCAGCTGCCTGTCCACATAGGTGGCTGGAGCCACAAAAGAATCCAAGTCATCCCATGTGATGCACGTCAGAGTTTGGAAGGTCAACCCCCTGTTCCAGCTCACCTAAATCCTTGCCAGGATACAGCAATTTCAAGTGAAGCATGTCTGTGTCCTGGACCTTTCCAAACCATTTATTCAGTAACAATGCATCGGAGGAACTGGCTCCGCCTCTCCCCACCAAAATGGCTTGTTGACTATGAACTCTGTTAATGATAAGACCTTAAATGAGAAAGCAGGAGGGAAACAGTGTTTCAAACGCAGAGGGCTTGCACAGGTTATAAAACAACAAACCAAAGGAGAAACTGTAACCCAGCAATTAGCTGTAAAAAAAACAATGGTGCTTTCTAAGTAAACACACACACTTTCCAATATTGAAACAGGGAGGAGGTCAGAGGTGGGGTTTAATAAAACCTGCTTTGGGGACTTGGTTTTGTTTCTGTCCAGCTCATCTTCTGGTAGTGAGCTGCCAGGGACTCTTGGAAAAGAGGATATTCCAAAAGTAATTCCACTTTTCTCTCTTCCCCTACATCCACAGCGCCTGCCTTTGAATATTATTAGATATTTTTCGGTTCAGTAAAACAGTCTTCCGCCACTACATTAGAATGCTGATTAACGCTGCTAGGCAAAGTAATCGCTGGGTATTAATCTCGTAGGGGACTGGACCATACACCTGCCCAGACTTGTCTTCTCACTACAGCTCACCACCCAAAACAACACCAAGGACACTGTGTCCTTCAGCTCCATTACAGAAAGCTTCTGGGCCACCAACTCTCAAAGGATCAACTGCTTTAAATATTTCTGCATGCGATGATTGTATCCTCATGTAATTTACAGTAGAATCTGGTGGCTTTTTTGTATGGGTGTCATATTTCCACAATGTGCCTCTGTGTCTTATGGAAATGAACAGAAGCAGGGTCACTGCATTATACAACTCCAGGGGGTGGCATTCACATAATAGTTTGTGGTGCTTTATGGAGTTGCACAGTGCACAACCTTGGCGGCCTTGGGTGGTGGCCCTGATTGCTAAACTCATCAGACAGGCCCCCGGGGAGCTTGAGTGTGTGCCATTTAGAGAAGGCTGACAAGGTCTGCTTCAAGGGCAGTGGTGGAGGACATCAGAGCTAGAGTGGGGCAGAGTTGACTCTGCGTGATTATGGGGTGAGATTTATATTGCCTGCCAAGCTTTCAAAGAGGCTGGTGAAGGAGATATTAGGGCTCTGCTTCCTGGGAGGCTCCGGGTTTGGGGTGTGGTTGACCTCAAACCCCAGAGGGGGCTGGGCAGTAGCCAGCAGGGTACAAGCATTCTCTAGCCCACATCTTCTCTGAAGGGTGTCAGCCCTCCCCAGACAGGGAGGAAGTTTGTTTGTTTGTTTAATCTGGTAGCACCTTAATGTTTGGGCAGAGCTTGCTTTCTCTGCAACCCTAAAGCTTCCCAGGGAGCACGCTTCCTGGGAGGGGCTCTCTTCTGCTAGCAGTGTTCAAGCCAGCACTCATCTGCAACTGTAGATCCCTTTGGAGATCCTAAATGGAGCTGCTGAATTGTTGTCATGGTTACCTGGGACAGTTTCTGAGGCCAGCGTGTTTCCAAGGAGGGCAGCCCTGAGCTGGATAGCCTGGGTTTCTGAGTAGGCAACTGACCCAAGAGAACTGCTTCCCCTCCTTCTCCCAGGCTCCTAGTCTCAAACCAGGAGCCTGACGTCTACAGCGAGCCTCTGAGCTTCAGGCCAGCCCAAACCTACTGCCCATACTTGATTTAGCCTTAAAAGATCAGGCTGACTCAGGCGTGCCTCCTCCCTCCACAAGCCAACAGAGGTTCCTGGATTCACTCATGCACACAGCTGCTTCTAAGCAAAAGACACTTGTGAAGTAGCTCTCTGCACTTACCATGTTAATAAGGAACTGACATTTTGAAAACCTCCTTTGAGCCTACCACTTCATGTGCATCTCATGTAATTTACCAACCTAGCGAGGGAGGGAATATCATTCCCATTTTATCTATGAGGAGCCAGGGGCTTGTAGGGGTGATGCCGAGGGCTGCACAACTAAGAAGTAGAAGACCCAGGATTCAAATTATGCTGTTTGGTTCCAAAGATAGTCCTCTTTCCTCCAAGTCATGGCTGCCTTCGTAGCCCCTGAGAACTGGTAGCCGCAAGAGATTCTCAGCCATCTACCGGGCACTGAACACTCATTTGTTCATTCCATAAACGTGACCTGAGTCCACTCTGTGCCAGACCCTCTGCTGGCCACTGGGGACACAAAGATAAATCAGATGCAACCTCTGCCCTCAAGAAACTAACCTTCTGACAACCAGCAGTAATTAAAAGAGAGGAATCTACAAGACGCTAGAGAGAGGGGCAGTCAGGGAGACCATTCTGGAGGAAATGACATCTCTGTGAACCAGCTAAGTCTCAAGGTATGTCCAGTGTGGGGAATAAACAGCAGAGCAAGACCCCATCCCTGCCCTCAAGGGCTGCAGGGACAAGAGTCATGCTCACGATACCATGAAAGAGAATAAAATCACTGATTAACGCCCCAAACAGGTGTTCTACATGGAAGTGCTGGAGGACTGAGAAACCGAGGCAGCAGAAGTTGGGGTCATTGAGCAAAGGCTATAGAAATGAAATGGAAGCTACTTTTGTTCATAAGGTGCTTCTTAAAAGTCTTTGAGCTCTCTTTCTTTCCCTACTCTTGCCATAGTCGCTTCAGGCTCTACTCTGATTTATTTTCCTTTCTCATTTCCTACTAAGGGAAAACATTCACTTACACAACATCTTTAAAGCTTGTGCTGAGAGCAAGGCATTACCCTAGGCCCTGAGGGTGGTCACAGTGGTGGAAATGTACAAAGATGAACAAGAAGACATGGAGTGCCGGAGCAGCAAATGAATAACCTAAATGATGAAAGTTTGAGAGAAGTGGGCTCCAAACCAGGCATGAGGAATGAAATAATTCAGTCTTGGAAAGGGAAAAAGACTTTTCAGGAAAAGACTTCATTATAGTTGGTTTGTTCATTCATTTTTTCGGCTTCCGTTCACTGATGCCTCTTACCTGCAAAGTCCTGTCCTCAAAGAGCCCACAAGTGAGCGCAAGGCCAGGAGATGTAAGCCACCATTACAACAGAGTGTGATAAACAAGCATGAGATGTACACACAGCCATGGACGCTCCAACGTGAGAACTTAGAAGACAAAGTTGGTAGCTTTTGAACTGATTCCTAAAACAAAAATGTTTACCAAGTGGAGAAGAGAGGAAAGGGAAAGTAAAAAGGCACTGAGGGTATGTCTAAACAGCTTGGTGGGGGGCGTTTATAGGGACATGAGGTGTAAAGACACGGTGCCCGCAGAATGGCAAGCCCTGTATACCAGACTAAAGAGTTTGCCTTTTTTCATCAGAGTAATGGGGAGCCATAGAAGAGATGTGAGCAGGTGAAGACCACGATGAAGTTTTCGTTTTGGAAATATCCCTCTGCTGCAGCGTGTAGGACGGACTAGAACGGGATGGACATGAGGACTCAGCCACGGATGCCTACAACAGATGTATCTTCGTGGCTGAGAGACTGCACCAGAAGGAAGCCTAAGGCAAGCTGGGCGGGTGGAGGGGAAGGAAGGAAAGGTGAACGGAGGCTCCCGCGTGAGGTCTGCATTCAGAACAAGGACGTACGCAGTTCTAGGCACCGAACAGCAGCTGGGAAGACCCGCCTCCCCTTCCAGATCCCTCTGGGGCGGAGCTCGGGCCAGAGCACGTGACGCCTGGGGACCCACCTTTACTATGGGCAGTCCTCCCGTTCATCCGAGGTTTGACGGGTCGCCACTCTGATCCCCAAAACCTTGACTCTTTCCCGTGGTGCTCGGGGCATCTGTTCTCTTCCGCGTGTCTCTATACGCATCTCCTGCAAAGTGTGGTTAGGGCGGATAAACAGCGCAGCTGTCCTTTGCCCACACTAAAGATGGCGACCCGCAGCGCTCACTCGGGGTGGGGAGCGGGCGCCGGGCCTCCCCGGGCCAGGCGCAGACGGAAAGGCAGTCTCTCGAGGAGACTTTCCGACCTTCCTGGGCGGGGATCTGAGCCGGGGGCGTGGCCTCGCCTAAAAGCTAGCCGCGGAGTGGCCTTCCGGCGGGTGGGCGGGGCGTCGGCGGCGCCCCGCCCCTCCCTCCTCGAACCGGAAGTGTCTCTCGGTCTTTCCAGCTGGTTGTCATTTCAGTCGGCTCGGTCCTGAGGAGAGGGACTCAGCCGCGGCTGCGGGACCCGGCGCCGGGAGGCGGCGGCGGCGGCGGCGGCGGCGACAGCAGAGGAGGACGAGGGGGAAGAGGGAGAGAAGCAGCGGCGCCGGGCGGAGTCCGCCACCACGACAGCGGGGACTGCGGGACCGGGCGAAGGCGGCGGCGGCGGCGGCCCAACAACCGTGAGGAGAAACAAAAGCCTCCCAAATTGTAGTTTTAAAAAAAACCTGGGGGGGCCAAGAGAGCGCGCGCGCGGGGGGGCGGCCCTTCTCCTTTAGAATCACTACACGAGTGGGCTTTCCTCTTTTCCTCTTTCTGCCCCCGCCGAGACTCGAACTGGGAGGACCGCACGGACCGCGCCTGGGTCCCATGAGGGAGAAACACCTCGGAGCCGCCGAGAGGGGAAGAGGCCGAGCCCGCGGGCCCGTCCAGGCCGCCCCCGCGCCCCCGGGCCGCCCGCTCGCCCCGCGCGAGGCCCGCTGAGCCCCCGATCGCCACCCCCCGAGGGAGAAGCGGGTGTCCCCAGCCCATTTCATGGGGGAGAGGAGGCCGGGGGCAGCCCAGGCACAGCGACCGCAGCACGATCTGCACCCAGAGCCTCGGGAGCAGCCCCGCAGGCCCGACGTGCGCCCCGCGGAGGAGCAGCGACAGGACCGGGAGCGGCGGAAAGCCCGCTGCCGGCGTCTGCCCATCGGCCGGCGCTGACCGCCTCCCCCGCCCAGAGCACCTAATAGAATCTCTATATATAGATATATAATATATAATGTTAAATTATTCCTGATTCTTCTTAACCAAGCTGCCGAGAACACAACGTCTTCTCCCCTTTCGCCCTGTTCTGATTTTTATGTGAGTGAAGCTGAACTGCTGAGGAAGACCATATGTGATTGTTAAATTATATATATATATTTTTACTCCGCGCAGTTCTTACTCTTCTCCGTCCGTAGACGCTTGAGAAGCTGTGTTTTTGTCATTCATGTACATTTTCCTTTGGAAAAAGAAAGCGCCTATTTTACTAACCAAAGACTTGATTTTTACCCCCTTCGTTTTTATTCCCTCCTAGAAATAAGCCCAGTTGGATTCATGTCAATGTTTTAAGAGATTTTTTTTTTTTTAGCTTTTTCTTTTCTGTCAGAGACCAGAATTCCAAATCAGAACTATTTAAGGTGATAAGCTGCGATCTTTGAGCTAGCTATAAATAAGACATTTCAAACAAACGACTTAAATTGGGGGTAGAGGATACAAAGGCGTGAGACATCAGGTTGTCCTTTTTTATCGTAAGATTCTGATCCTAAAAATAATAAATGGGGGATTACGGGTTTGGAGTGCTAGTGCAAAGCAATACTGGGAATAAATCTGCTTTTCCAGTCAGATTCCATCCGCATCTGCAGCCTCCACACCATCACCAAAATGCCACCCCCAGTCCTGCTGCTTTTATAAATAATAACACAGCTGCCAGTGGCAGCAGCGCCGGCTCAGCTTGGCTCTTTCCTGCTCCGGCCACCCATAACATTCAGGATGAGATCTTGGGGTCCGAAAAAGCAAAAGGTCAGCAGCAGGAGCAGCAAGACCCTTTAGAAAAGCAGCAGCTCTCCCCCAGCCCAGGTCAGGAAGCTGGAATACTACCTGAACCTGAGAAGGCGAAATCTGAAGAAAATCAGGGGGACACTTCTTCGGAAAATGGCAACGGGAAGGAGAAAATAAGAATCGAATCACCAGTGTTGACAGGGTTTGATTATCAAGAAGCTGCGGGGCTAGGGGCTTCGACCCAGCCCTTGACGTCTAGCGCATCGTCTCTTACTGGTTTCAGTAACTGGTCAGCAGCAATAGCACCTTCTTCCTCTACAATCATCAATGAAGATGCAAGTTTCTTTCACCAGGGAGGGGTCCCGGCTGCTTCGGCCAATAACGGTGCTCTGCTGTTTCAAAATTTTCCCCATCATGTCAGCCCTGGCTTCGGAGGCAGCTTCTCCCCTCAGATCGGGCCTCTCTCCCAGCACCACCCTCATCACCCTCATTTCCAGCATCATCACAGCCAGCATCAGCAGCAAAGGAGGTCTCCTGCCAGTCCCCATCCGCCACCTTTCACACATAGAAATGCTGCTTTTAACCAGCTGCCTCATTTGGCCAATAATCTCAACAAACCCCCCTCTCCGTGGAGCAGCTACCAGAGTCCCTCTCCCACACCGTCGTCTTCCTGGAGCCCCGGGGGAGGCGGATATGGTGGCTGGGGAGGGTCCCAAGGCCGAGATCACCGCAGAGGGCTGAATGGAGGAATAACGCCCCTGAACTCCATCTCGCCTTTGAAGAAAAATTTTGCAAGCAATCATATTCAGCTCCAGAAGTACGCTCGCCCCAGTTCTGCCTTTGCTCCTAAATCCTGGATGGAAGATAGCTTGAACAGGGCTGACAACATTTTTCCTTTTCCGGTAAGATTATGTTCCATTAATAGATTAAGATGAATAAGGAAATGGTTTGGCGTTAATATCTATTTAAAAGTTTGAGTTGTCCACATTCATATCAGAGCTCTTCTTAGAAAATGAGTTAATTGCTAGACATTATTTTGGCAGGAGAGGAGTGTAATTTGGAGCAAAATATTCAACAGTTTCTTTGGTAAATTTCTAATTGTAGTCTTCCCATAGATAATTGTATGAATTGGCATAATTATGAATACCAGGTAGCTAGTGATGTGGTAATTATTAACTGTAGCACCTTTTTAGCCTGACAAGAGAATCAGGGTTGGTTTTTTCCTGCTTATTTAGGTGAGAATAAATAGTATATAGATATAAATATATTTCATTGTGGAAGCTGATGAGCATTTTCTCCCCATATGCAGTAACTATATAACCAAAAAAATTCATTTCTTTCTCCACTGTAAGGTATTGAGTCACTGAAAACCAACTATTGAATTACAGTTTTCTCACTGGTTACATTTTAAACCTGGAACCTCTCTGTACCATGCAGTCTAAACAGTCTGAATTCATCAATTTGGCAATTCCTCCTTAAACCTCTTTGCAAATTCTGGCCTGCCTTATCAGTGAGGATTGCTAGAGAAATGATCTGAATGTTTTTTTCATTCCCCTTTATTTTTGAATACTATGAAACTGTTGATCTCAGACTGACTCTTTTATGATGCCTTTCACCCATTTGTTTATTTTCCAGTGTTAACACTAGGGGTACAGATAATTAAACCATTCCTAAAAATAGATTCAGGCAAAGATCACTTGTGTTTCTTGCTACCAGTGTATCTATATTCTGCAAGAGTCACATTGTTTTATGTTTTTGAATTAATGAGCAGCCAGCCTAGGTGATAGATATGAGAAAAAGGGAATTTCATAGTTATTTGAACATCAGATTCCCCACTAAAATTGTATACTTTGAGGGTATGATCATTTATATGTGTTTGGGAAATTTATATGGAATAATAAGCTAACATTGAGTCAGTCCCCTCAACAACCCCACAAGGTAAGTTCTATTATTATCCCCATTTTACAGCTGAGAAAATTGAATATCAGAAAGATATAATAACTTGACCAAGAGCACACAGCTGGTAAGAGTGCAAACTCGAGATTAAAAAAACAAGGATTAGAACTGTATCTGTATACGTGTATACATACATGTTTACACGTACACATGTGCTACAGCGAGAGGGTTATTTTAGAGAGCTTTCTGCAAGGGCCAAAACAGATTACAAAATAGTTGCAGTGTCCCCAGATATGATGTCAGCACAAGCAGAATTATCTGTTTTAATTAATAATTTGCTTAGTGAGAGAGGAGGTTTGCTAAGAGAACCCTGCGTCATTCCAGGGAATTAAATATCCCTTCTCTAAGGACTCAGGTGTAATGGTTAGGATGTATCTTAAAATATTTGGTTAAATTTAACTTTAGATTTTTAAAAATAATTGTTTGCCTGAGTATCAAAAAGCTGTTGGCTTTTGTTTTCTGAAAGGGTTTTTTTTTTACTCAAACTGAAGAGAGTAGTTATTGTGCTTTAGTGGTCCCGTAAAAGGCTGTTTAGGACATTGGCGATCCCATGAAGTCTATTTTTAAAAAGTTGCTTCTGATATTCCTTTAAACATAAATTTAAGGGAAATTTAATGCAGAGGTAACTTTTGCGAATTATTCATATGTTGCTAATTTAAAAAATCTGAGATGTTATTCCATCCATTTTAACTGGATTAGGATTGGCTCAGAATTGAGTATACTTTTCCTTTTTATTTTGCTGCTATACACTGACAGAATGAACTTATGTGACCTCGTGGTTTATTTTCCATTCTCACTTTACTGACTTTTGATGAAGATTTGCTTTGGGAAAAATGAAAATTTCAGAAAAATGAATAAATGATACATATATGCACATTATTAATATTTTTATGGGGCTAACAGAATGTGTTTAACCTGTGAAACCTTTCCATCAGATGATTTTTGAGAGATTAGGCCGATTTATGAAATAATATAATAAAATAAACTAAGGTTGATACTAAAAGATATTGTTAGAAACTAACTCTTCCCTTAGAATTATTGTCTGTCATGCT